GTACGGCTCCACGCAGCAGCTCGACACCGCCAACGCCTCCTCCGCGCCATCCTCAACCTCATGCCTTCCTGCCCCGGCACGAAGCTCTTCGGCGTCTCCGTCGGCCGGAAGCGAATGCGGCACGACGGCGGCGACGGTGACAATGACCACACGGCGGCGGTGAAGGTGGAGCCGATGGACGGGCGGCCGCCCGCCGCCACTCCGGCCCTCGCCGCCCGCCGCGGGAGAGAGAGAGGGGGGAGCGGCGAGGAGGGAGAAGGAACTGGAGGGGGAGAGAGAGAAGGGACACGTGGGTCCTACAATTTCTTTCACGTGTCAATGACAAATGGGTCTCACACATATTTTTTAATTCTAAATGCCACCTACATGCCATGTTTAAAAGAGTCCTGGTCAATACCGCCACGTAGGCGCCACGTCAGTAAAACCGCTCTCCAAAACCGTCAAGGAAGTCAAATTGCACCGGTTTTAAAAGTTTGAGGGTTAAGATATCGGTTTCGTGGTTTAGAGTCACGGATTAGATTTCGATCACTTTTGAGGGTCACCAAGTGAACTTATTCCTCTAGGATTCCCGGAAGTTCTGGTCTATTAAGAAAGTTCATGAAGGCCCAATAACGCCATACCATATCACATGCAGTTTGGAGACCCGGCCCAACTCAATCCCAACATGGTGGCAAAGAAAGTAGTAAAGAAAGAAAAGGCAGCCTTCTAAGCACTGACCGCCCGGACGTACTGGTGGACCGTAGCTAGTGACTGCATTTTAATATTTTGCCATAAAGGCTGTGATTAGATCTAAACTTCAGTTCTTTTCTATCACATCAACCTATCGTACACACATAACTTTTCAGTTACATCATCTCCAATTTTAACCAAAATTCAAACTTTGATCCAACTAAACACAGCCAAAGTTAGTTACTGCATGATCGAATACGAAGGTTTAGCGTAGTAACTTAATTAGTCATCGTTAACATAACGGACAAGCTGCCTAGGTAGCTTACTCTACTTAGAAAAAGCATTTTTCAGACGTGAGGGTTTTTATTTTCGTAGGTGGATATGGCTCTCGGACCCAAATGACCGTCTACAAAAATGTAAACTGAGGTGAAACTCGCTGTCCGACCACTTAAGCGGTCCGCCTGTAAAAATACCATTTATTTTTGAAGGCGGACCTCTTACGTCCGCCTACGAAAATAGGCGTGGAATATAAATGGACCACTCATCACTTAGATTTTTTCTAAGTCCTCACCTATCCTCTCCCTCAACCGGCCTCTCTTCTCCCTCACCTCTCTCCATCAACCAGCCCTCACCTCTCCTCTCACTCAGTGACGGGCGTTCGGCGGCGGGGCCAGTAGGATCCGCGACGGCGAGGCGCGGGGTCGGTGGCAGCAACGGCGAGGCGACGCTCGGGGGCAGCGCACCCTCGGCGCGGCTCGCCTCCCCTCCCTCCCAGATCCAGCCAAAGGGGGGAGGGGGAGGCCAGTGGCCGGTGACGCGAGGCGGAAAACAGAGGAGGGAGGTCGGCGGCAGCGCTCCTACCTCCCAGATCCGGCTGTCGGCCCTCCTATCCCGGATCCAGAAGCGTCATGGGGGAGGGTGGCGACGGCGGCTGCATGCAGTGGCCAAGGTCAGAGGTCGTCGGCGACGCTCCCCCCTCCCCCCCTCCCCTCCACGGCGGCAGCGGGCTGGCGCGGTGAGCTCGTGGCGGCGCAACTCCCCTCCCCTCCCTCTCCCCTCCCAAAACCCTCATGATGGCATAGCTCGTGGTGGCGGTGGCCGGAGGGGAGGGCGGCCAAATATTTTTTACGCTGAAAATATTTTCACAGGTGGGTGGATTCAGCCGCCCGCAAAAATTATTGATTTTCGTAGGCGTTTGGTTGCGGACAGAAGTTATGGACGCCTGAAAAATACGTTTTAGCCGCCTATAAAACTGTTTTTTTTCCAGTAGTGTTACTTACGTATTCATCAATTAATCAATTCATTCCAATGCTTGAATAATAATACTACTGCATGTCCGTCCACCACTTATAGCTACTTAAAAAGTGGTGACAACAGTTTACGGATGAAACTAATTTTACGGGTGTCACCTGCATAGTAAAAGACCATCTAGCAAGGCAACTACTCCCACCGTTAAAAAAAAACCTAATACTAAATAAATATGACATAATAAATATGATATTACAGTACAACAAATTCGGATATATCTAAAATATGTCACATTTAGTAATAGGTTAGTTTTTTATGGGACGGAAGGAGTACTCTCTAAATTATCAAATTATCTTTATAAGCTGTGTTTAGATTCAGGGGTGAAAAGTTTTAGCGTGTCACATCGAATATACGGACACACATTTAAAGTATTAAACGTAGGCTAACAACGAAACAAATTACAGATTCCACTTGTAAACTACGAGGCGAATTTATTAAGCCTGATTAATCCATTATTAACAAATGTTTACTGTAGCACCACATTGTCAGATCATGGAGCAATTAGGCTTAAAAGATTCGTTTCACAATTTACACGCAATCTATGTAATTATTTTCTTTTTCATATATTTAATACTACATACATATGTCTAAACATTCGATATACCAAGATTAAAAAATTTTGCCAGAGGATTAAACAGGCCATAGATTGTGAAGCTTAGTAGGGGTATAATAGCCTTGAGATGCTAAAAAGTCAAAGTCAAACGCACGTGCGTGTGCTTGCCGATACAAAAGTCTACTGGTAGCACATCATCTGTATATGACTGTCTTGCGATTCAAGGAAAAGAAAATAAACTTTGTGTCTCATTTCAATGAACCTGAATTCGATGCGTGTACACCTGGCGATATTCTTCTCAAAAAAACAAGACCAGTGTCCAAACGATATGATTCCAAATCTCACGATATATAGGAAAAAGACCAAAATGAAAAAAAAAAATAACAAAGAGAGTGGGTGTGGGTCAGTGATAAGTCATCATACAAAACATGGTGTGAGGAGTCCAATTGAAGTCATTATTTTATTTTATCAAAAAAGAATACTACAAAGCACCTATAGTAGATTTTGGCAAATCTTATAATTACAACACAGTATTATTTTATTGCATACTAGCTCTTGTGCCATTAGTAACTGATAAGAAGACGGATAAAAAATATTTCTAAAATCTATTATATTATTAAGACAGCTCAAAAAGAAGGCACCACGTTCGCTGTAGAGGCTAAAAATTCCCACATTAATCGAAGAAAAAGAAAAAAAATCTACACCGCTAGATCATGACAGACTTATAGTTTAACCGTTGAGATTGATCGGAATAGTATAAGTAAGAAAGAGTACATGACAAATCCTACTCAAACTATGTAAAAAAAAAAACTATACAGCAAAATAAAAATTTTGTTCGGACTGTGATGGCCCAACCGGACAGAGGGTTGACAACGTTTCTTTTGTCCATGGAGAAACTTACCAAAAAAAAAAAAGGAAAATCAATCTGTTTCCATGGCACTTACCGCATACAACCAAAAAAGAGACCTGTCAGCTAACAATCAAACTCACTCAGCCAACCAATGCCTCCTTTCCTTGCACAGCAGCGCGTGATTTAATCAGCCACGCGCCCACACGATGTCATTGAAAGGCAAGTTTAATATGATCAAAATTTTGTTAAGTAAGAAGTTAAATTGTTTTGTTGGTTGTAGATTGAAAGATAAAAATATATTCCTAATTTTTCTTGCATTTGGAGATAATTTTATGGTTAAATAATACTATAAATATCAAATATTACATATGAGGTATAGAAATTATCAAGACATCAAGATCAAGGTCAGTATTTGGCAGCCTGTAATGTTCGATCATCAATTCTCGACCATATTCTATCTAAGAATTAATTCACATTTGCAGGGCTAAAAAAATACCACATTTAATCAAAAGAAAACAAACATATTACCAAGGGACGGCAAATAAGGCGGCATTCAACGACGGCTTGCAGGAATTTTAAAAAAATTATAAAAAAATCCTATCAATGATATGGATATTACCGGTGTAGTGAGATGACAAAGAAGAGAAGCAATGGGCAAGTGAGTGTGTGCAAACAAATGAGATAGGAGGCAGTTGCCACAGGAGGACATGCCAAGGGTGGTAAAGTAAATAAAAAATAATTATAAGAGTTCAAGTAGGATTACAATTTATAAATGAAAGAAATATCACAATGAGAAATATTTATTTTTGAAAAAAATAGTCCATACAGAACACAACAATAACAAATTATAATAAAGATGAGAGAAACAATAGACCCATAAAAAATTAGAGTGGTGTAGGTAGATGGGACATGTAAAAACTATAAATAAAACCTTAAATAGAATCTGAATGATAATTAAGAGGAGGGACGACGAGCAGGTCGTTAAGCAGCATGATCTCGACGATTGGAGGGATTTCTAGAAAGTAAAAAAAACCCCTCAATTATTATCATGTTCGATTTTCAAATCTCAACGATAATAAAAATGGGAGGCAGCAGGCGGGCCATAGAGAAGTATAGTAGCGGCGTTTGGTGAGACTTCTAAAAATTATAAAAATGAAACCCAACAATACAATGAACTCTAAAACCACAAGGTCAAATTTGTAGAGGTTTCAGGGAGGATGAATGAAAGCATTGGTAGATCGAGCAAGTAAATAAAGCGATGACAAAGAAATAAGGCGTAGTGATTAGCATGACTATTAAAAGCACCGGGGTGATAAAGTCGGTTTTTCAATGTTCTAACATAACGAGATAGTTATTTAACAAATTTTAAGTAAAATCATATGTAAAACATAGATAATTTTATATGGGTGTTAGCCGCGCAATTGCGCGGGCCACCCAGCTAGTTATTCTTCATTTAATATATAATCGATCACTCTGTATTTTTAAATTAAAAAATCACTTTGTTTGGGAAATAATCAGTATATATTTATTTATTTGTATATTCCATCGTAATCAAAGGCATTGGCGCGCAAACGACTTTGGGTGGGGGCGACGACCAATAAACAAGACGAGGTCGAGTTGAGTTGCGTCGCGTCTTCCTCCCCGCCGCCGCCTTCCTTGAACCTGTCTCCATTAACTCCTCCATGTCTCCATTGTCTCCCTCCACACTAACATCCACTATTATCGGATCGCAAGAATCCACAGCCCGGCCATGGCCGCCGCCGCGCCGCAGCTGGAGGAACTCGTCGACCTCGAGCCCTTCTCTCCGTCGCTCTTCCTCGACCTGCCCCCGACGCCGCACAGCGACGACCCCAACGATGACGATCTCATCCTCCCCTTCATCTCTCGCATGCTCATGGAGGACGACATCGACGACAAGTTCTTCTACCAGTTTCCCGACCACCCTGCTCTCCTCCACGCCCAGCAGCCCTACGCCCAAATCCTCGACGCCCCATCCGACGACACCACCACCAACTCCTCCGACGACTCCGCCTCCGCCACCACCAACAACACAACCAACTCCGCCGCCGCCGCCAACGCCTCCTGGCCCTACGACCCCATCGAGCTCTCTCAGCTGCTCCAATCCCCGCCCCACCCCGTCTCCGACAACCACGACGCCGACGTCGGCGACACCAGGAGCGCGCCGGAAGACGACAAAGACCTGAAACTTCTGTTCTCCGCCGCCGACAACATGGAGATGCTCAACATGGCGTTCCTCAAGGGCAGGGAGGAGGCCAACAAGTTGGTGCCCACCAACAACACCCTCTTCGCCGGCTTCGACGGCGCCTCGCTGCTCAAGACGGAGCCGGCGGTGGATGAGCCCACGTTAATGTTCGGACGAAGCGGCGGCAGCGGCAGGGGCCGGAAGAACAGGCACGGCGAGGAGGACGACCTGGAGGCGGAGACCGGCAGGAGCAGCAAGCTGATGGTGCCACCGCAAGAGGCCACCGCGGCCGCCAGCGAGATGTTCGACGAAATAATGTTCAACTGGTACGAGGTGATCATGAAAGGGATGGAGGAGCTGCGCGTCGCCATGGACAGCGAGGCCGAGAAGAAGGCCCGGAACGGCGGCGGGGCCGGCCGGAGGGCGGCGCGCGCAAAGGCGGCGGTGGTCGACCTACACACCCTGCTCATCCACTGCGCGCAGGCGGTGGCGACGAGCGACCGGCGGAGCGCCACCGAGCTGCTGAAGCAGATCAAGCAGAACTCGTCGGCGAGAGGGGACGCGACGCAGAGGCTGGCGTGCTGCTTCGCCGAGGGGCTGGAGGCGCGGCTCGCCGGCACGGGGAGCCAGGTGTACAAGTCGCTCGTTGCGAAGTGCACGTCGACGGTGGACTTCCTCAAGGCGTACAAGCTGTTCGCGGCGGCCTGCTGCATCAAGAAGGTGAGCTTCATCTTCTCCAACAAGACCATCCTGGACGCCGTGGCGGGGAAGCGCAAGCTGCACATCGTGGACTACGGCCTCAGCTACGGATTCCAGTGGCCAGGTCTGTTCAAGTGTCTGTCGGAGAGGGAAGGCGGGCCGCCGGAGGTGAGGATTACGGGCATCGACTTCCCGCAGCCGGGGTTCCGGCCAGCCGACCAGATCGAGGAGACAGGCCGGCGGCTGAGCAACTGCGCGCGCCAATTCGGCGTGCCATTCAGGTTCCAAGCCATTGCTGCAAAGTGGGAGACGGTCCGCCGCGAGGACCTCCACCTCGACCGAGAAGAAGAAGAAGAAGAAGAAGAAGAGGTGCTCGTGGTGAACTGCCTCCACTTCTTGAACGCCCTGCAGGACGAGAGCGTGGTTGTGGACAGCCCGAGCCCCAGAGACATGGTGCTCAACAACATCCGCGACATGAGGCCTCACGTGTTCGTCCAGTGCGTCGTCAATGGCGCGTACGGCGCGCCCTTCTTCCTGACGCGCTTCAGGGAGACGCTCTTCTTCTACTCGTCGCAGTTCGACATGCTGGACGCCACCATCCCGCGCGACAACGACGAGCGGCTGCTCATCGAGCGGGACATATTGGGGCGCTGGGCCCTCAACGTCATCGCCTGCGAGGGCGCAGACAGGGTGGATCGCCCGGAGACGTACAAGCAGTGGCTGGTGCGCAACCACCGGGCCGGCCTCACGCAGCTGCCATTGCAGCCTCAGGTGGTTGAGCTTGTGAGAGACAAGGTCAAAAAACTCTATCACAAAGACTTCGTCATCGACGTCGATCACAATTGGCTGCTGCAGGGATGGAAGGGGCGGATACTGTACGCCATGTCCACATGGGTAGCTGATCGTGATCACAAATCCCTCTTTTAGTTCAAGATTTAATTATCTGCTTCAATTACTTACAAATTGAGAACTAGATATATACTCCTACATGATATAATATCTTCATTTGCAATGTAGAGCTAGCTACATAAGATTTTGATATATATATATATATATATATATATATATATATATATATATATATATATATTTCCAGCATAAATAAATTGAGAACTTCATTTTTTTTTTTGCTACTATAGTTTAGGCCTGTGTGCTCTTCTGTTTGCTGACAATCTACTATAGTGTTTTCACTATTGTCGTGTTTGATGATATGTTCTCTTTGTCATGTTTAATTCACTTCCTTTTGTGTACGCAAATTCTTGATACTTCCCTTCTTTCAAAAAAAATCTTGATACTTCCATTTCCCTGGCAAAAGTATAACAGTTGCATGATTGAGCAGTGCAGTTTGTTCACCAATTATTCAAAGTGTTTGAGGTGTGTATCGCTGTCTTACTTTCTAATATTAATGGTTTGTGGGCCAGTACAACTCTTGTGTTTGTATGGATTCACTCATAAAGTTGTGATATATGTTCCAAAAAAATCAGTTTCAAATCTGACAACAGTTAAACAGCGATACTGATTAACAAAAAAAGGGTGGGCGGTGGGGTATTCAATGTATATATCTGCATGCTGTCCGCAAAATAAAAGATGTCATACATTTCCCGATGTTTCCCACAGTTTCATTTTGACAGGCAGTTCTTGCTGGATATCCTTGTATTTGAGTCAGACAAGTACATCAAAAAGAGGTTACCAGATTGAAGACATGTTAATTTTCTGTAAATATTGTTGAGAGTTGATCACTGGGACCTGCTCTGTGATATACTCCTATTTATGTGAAATTGACATTGATGATTCCAAAATAAAAATGGCTGCTTAGTTTGCAATATAATAGATAGATCTTTTCTTTTGACAGGATGTTATTAAATCTTGATGGTTTTTTTTTTTTGAACTAGGAGAGCATATTAAATCTTGATGGTACCTGAGAAAAAGTCCACTAAACTAGTTACAAATATTCAAATTTGTTGTATGATAGTCAATTGTTGGTCAATAGCTTCATCTGTTAGGCTGCGTTCGTTCCTTGGGCACGGTTAATTAAGTATTTTAACATAACCTTTGAGGAACATTGGGCCAAAGGTTCCCTGCAAATTTCTATACGTGTTTCCTTACAAATTCTAGTACTTTACATATTCCTGGGTTGTGTTTTCTTTGATTACTGGCAGGTTTGAAATACTGCTAGTTTGGTTTATCATGCATTCCATGTGCTGAGATAGTTTGATAATTACAGACTGATGTAGTAGGTGCAGTTTTATCTGTCTTTTGCATTTCAGAAGCATAGAACTGTTTTTTTTCTTATATATACTGGGGCTAATTTTACTAAACAGGTATTTGGTCTAGTAATTTCACGCTGCAACACTAAACAAGCTTGTATAGCTGTGTTTCAGATAGAAGTTTGTGAAAAGATTAGCAATTTGTTGGAGAAGTTAGGTACAATATCAATTTTAAGCTAGTAGAGTTAGGGGGTGTTTAGATCCCACCCAAAAATTTTACACCCTGTCACATCGAATGTTTGAACACCTGCATGAAGTATTAAATATATATAGGCTAAAAAAATAACTAATTGCACAGATTGCGACTAATTTGCGAGACGAATCTTTTAAGCCTAATTACTCCATGATTTGACAATGTTGTGCTACAGTAAATATTTGCTAATGACGGATTAATTGGGCTTAATAAATTCGTCTCGCAGTTTACTGACGGATTCTGTAATTAGTTTTTTTATTAGTGCCCAAACACCCCATGCGACATCCTATATAATATCCGATGTGACACGCCAAAACTTTACACCCTGGATCTAAACACCCCCCCTATATTCTGTAAAAAGGGATGTGCATTTCATTCATCTTTCTGACATGTTAGGTAGGAGTAATTCAGTAACAAGATAGCAGTTAGAGAATCTCCAACAACCTTTCTAAAATAGACTCTCCGAACATCCATATAGCCAGCTAGCTATCCTGTCGGGTCCCAAAACTAACAACTTGGATCCGACTGAGATTAATGTATCAATCCCTGGATCAGTAAAAATCGATACATACAATATAACTGGTTCTTCATTGCATACGTTAAAGTCTTACAATACTAAGGGTTTTACAATAATAGGTATTCACCCATCTAATTAGTACACAGCGGAAGTTTCTATACATTCTGACTAGTGAGGTATAACCTTTAGGGATTTTCTAAGTTATCAGGGTCTTTGTAGTAATAGTCATAAGGGTCCTCCTCTTGACCCAGATATGAAAAAGGAGGTTATAAGAGCAAGGATGAGTATTCACAATACTCAGCAAGTTATCACGGAAATATGTTATGCATTGACATATAATAGGGTTCTTTGCAAAAAGCAGTATTGGACAATCTGGAAAAGCAGAATTTATAAAACATATAACCTTTAGATTTCCAACCAGGGTACCATATGAGTCCCGGTACTCAACTCCATGAGTACGTGTCATGCCCCGAACCAGTCCCGACCGGAACTAGCCCGTGACGCTCCAAATTAACCTGTTAATCGATACCAGTCCCAGGAAACAGTGCTGGTATCACAGGGAGACAGAATATCACAGCAACAGAGGTCTCTTTATTATAGAGTAGAGGTATAGTCATGTTGGGCTGTGGACAGATCCCGAGCTCACAACTGCATTACATAAGGGAAACGGAAGCCAGGACTTGGACCAACCAACACAGGCGCGACTTGGGAACTAGGCCGAAACCCTAAAACTCATCGTAGCCGGCTTGCTCCTGGAAGAACTCCTCATCAGCAGGATCCGCTTCATCTTCTTCAGCAACTGAGGGGGGGGGATATTTATATAGAGCAAGGGTGAGTACGGGAATACTCAGCAAGCCATGAGAAATAAGTGTTTAATGCAGGCTTCAAGGAAAGGCTGTTGTTTTTGCAATTGTTTTTATTTGAACTCCTTTTTGTAAACAACTAAGTGAGTGCTTCTCAAACGACACGGATGAGACAGTGCGTCTCGTCCAGTCGGAGTATGTGCAATGTATCAGTCTTTAGAAATGACATAAGATCGGCACCCGGCCAATAGCTTTTCAAACAGCCACCCGGGCCAACAACTTTCAAACGGCCACCCGGGCCTAGCTGATCCCATCAGCTGCAAATTTTCCAAACATCGATCCCCTTTCCACAACAGCAATTTCACAAGCAGTAGTCAAACAAAACTACGCTAGGAATCACCTCACATCTGCCCATGACCGTGGGCACGACTGTTCGAACAGTTTGTTAACCTCTGCAGAGGGGGTACACTTTACCCACACGACATTACAAACCCGGGTCACCCAGCCCGTGGGGATCAACCACGTCGGGAGACCTCCAAGCTTTCATGACAAGGCATTTCGAAAGCCGACACAGGTTTACCATATGCCGACGAGAGGGGTCCCAGACCAACAACAGGTTAGGTCCCAGACCATACTGTGCCAGGAAGCCCAGGGGTCCTCCCCGACACCACCCCGGCGAATCCACATGTCTCTCGGCATCAAGGCTCCCCTGATAAGCTAGTTACTCCGCCAGGGGTGTCCCATTCCACCCATGTGGTCGTACTTGACTTATGTTTGGATGAAATTCCAAGGAATCGGTCCTTAAGTGCGAGAGCGGGAAACCGTACTCCCGGTACGTTCCCCGGTCCGCGGTTTTGGAAATTCATTTAGTTCGCAAGCACCGACCCAGGTGTCGGGTTTTCCAAGCCTTTTGTAAACCCAAGTTTTACCCAAGTTGTTTTTCAGATTTTAAGTTTGAAGGCGTCCGTCGATACTCGCACAGGGTGCACGAATATCGAGACGCAACTAGATGGTTACAAGGGGACATGATATAACAATTAACAAAGGGAGGATCAATGCAACAAATTAGGTAGGTCCGCTGATCTGCCTAGCAGACGGGACGACAGATTAAGTGCGATCCTATCAATGCATAATATTTTTCAAGCAACATAATTAAATTTCAAATATAGGCTCGAGATGTTCAGAGGTGGCTTGCCTTCCTCGAGATCTGGAGCTTGATCCTCGAAATCCTCGCACTACGGGTCTTCGGGCTCCGAAACTACACGCGAAATGGGACAACTCAACAAACGGCGAAAATAAAGCTCTATTAATGACCTCTAAGCGTGCCATTAGATAGATCTCGAGATTTGAGGAATTTTGGAAGTTGAACGTAGTCAAACGGACTTACGGTTGGGAAGATATTGAATTTCTAAGATTATTGGATTTTTGGTCTAAAGGAAAAGGATTTAATTAAATCCTTTTTGGAAAAGAAAAAGAAAAGAAAAGAAAAGAGGGAGGGATTATAGACTTTTCCTCGGGCGGCTAGGGCGTGGCCCAAGGGAAAAGGAGCGGACCGGCCGAGCTAAATGGGCCGGCCGGCCCAAGGCGGCCCAAGTGCGCGCGCGCAGGGGGGAGGAGAAAGAGGGCCGGTGGACCGGGCTCACCGTGCGCGGTCCCGGGTGGGACCCGCTTGTCAGCGGCTCGGCTCACCGTGCGGAGGGAGCACGTGGCGCACGCGCGCGGGCGGGGGAGGGACGCGGTGCACGCGCGCGGTCTGCGGAGGAACGGATGCGGCGGGCCCACGCGCAGCCTCACGGCTCGCGGTGGAACGCGCGCACGGGAGGGGCTGACCGGGGTCGGCCCGTCCCGACCTCGGCTGAGCTGGCGCCGACGTGGCGCCTACGTGGCTGCCACGTGGGCCGGCGGGAGGTAGACGACGACGCCGGCCGGAACGGACGGGCGGACAACAGCGGCGAGCGGCGGAGCGAACCACGGCGATACAGGCGAAAGCGAGCACACCGGGTGGTTGCACGAGACGAGGGGAGACGAGCCAACGGCTCGGATTCGCCTGAGGAAGCTTGACGGCGGCAAATCGCGGCGGCGGCAACTGGCGGGGAGGGAAGAGGGAAACGGCGACGAGGTCACGAGGGGCCGATTCCCGGCGGTGAGAGCATCTACGCGGCTACGGGAATCCGATGCTAGCGTCGGATTGGGCGGAGCTACGCCGAGCGAGGCTGGCGACGAGCGGGTGCTACGG